GAAACCGGTGAATTTGCTTCGGTGTTATATAATGCCGTTGACAGGATATGTCCTACCGCTGACAACACGTTACGGACTCTTATCTCGAAGAACGTTAGTGACCAATTTGAGTTTCTCGCTGTTGAAACCTTCAGAAATAACCCCCTTTACCCACAGTACAGCTGATTGGGTTCCTATATTTTCTAGACAATCGGCTCATAGATGGCGGCAAAGTTGTCAGCCCTACGCGTCAAGAACCTCAACATCTCACAACCCTATAGGCCTCCATGGCTTGTTACAGGGTTAGCTTTACTTCATTCATTCATCAGCAATCTGTCAAAATGATAGGTCCACAGTCTCTTCCAAAACAGTTCCTCCACTTAATGCGATCTAGAGCTTTCTTCTTCAAATGAGAATATCCTCTTCTGTCCTCAAGGTCATCCAGCATCTTCTTACGTCTTCTTCCTCGTCTTCTGATCACTTCTATCCGTCCCTCTATCTTTCCTTCAATAACTTCTTTTAGAAGGCAGTTACCGAGTAAGATATGACCAATCCAATTAGCTTTCCGTTTTCTTACTTTTTTTTTTACAGCTGATTGGTTGGGCTCAGGAAATGGCGAAGAATACAATGAGAACTTCTGGGGATCGAACTATGGTCGTCTACCTCCAAAAAATGTACAGCTCCATAATATTCTTAGGTAAATGGGATTAATAGCTTCACCCTCCGGTTGCCTTACCCCTGGTAGAATCATCATCTGTGTGTTGGTCACATGCCCGAGAGGGCGGTTCTGCTACATTTTATTGCTATGTGGACAGGAGAGAGAAGGAGGAAGAAGACTTTTATGTCAGCAGCCACTGACACTGCACTTAATGGATTGACAAGTTGTGTGGGCAGTCAGACCAGCCGCCATTAACAGAGAATTATCAGCCGCTACGGCTGACACTGGGGGACGAGTAAACCTATACAAATACACATTGTTTTCACACTGACTGAAGCCATCGACGGTTGCCCAAGCGGCAACAATTCGACAAAATAAAGAACACCGACAGACACTAAAACTGATATTCCACATGCAAAGGATCCAGCAGATTTCCGAGTCATGCAAGGAAACTGCTTCTCAACCACAGAAAACTATAGAAGAGTAAGTAAGTAAAAGTAAAGGTATCCCTGTAACAGGCCATGGAGGTCCATAAAGGTTGTGAGACGTTGAGGTTCCCACATTTTCTAGATAATCGGCTCATAGATGGCGGTAAGGTTGTCAGCCTTACGCCCCGGCCGCCCTTTACCCACAGGAATATTCCTGGTACTCATTTCTGTTAGAGGCTGAGTCGACCCCAGGGCCATAGTGCGGCTGGAAGGATTGCGTAAATTGAAAAATCCACCTAATCTGGATTCGATCCCGCGACCTTCCGGCTTGCAGCATAGTGCCTCAAGCAACTACGCTACCGCGACAGAAGAGCGCGGGATAAGAGTTAATACTGTAACAGAGTAGCATTAATTGATTAAATTTAAACTAGATATTGTTAAAAAGAATCGTCAGCCTAGCGATAGGCTGGATATCGTTTCCGCGGGAACGTGTTTAGAGACCGTTACCAAGCAACGCATATTCCTTCTAGCGATCGTTGCATAGCAACGGTACTACGTGCTACAATACAGTATAAATTTTCTGAAATTATGGAATCAATAAGCTATTTAATTCTGAACGAGGAAATAAAGAATCAAATTAGAGAAATTGGCCGATATTTTTAAACAACTCAAGTAAAAACTGAAGCTGATATATATTGTATTATCACAGAAATACTCCTGAATTTTTTATAGCGGAACGAAATTGTCTATATTCAGTCATGTTATCGACCCTACTAACAGTATGAAGTCACTACCCGCGACAGACGTCTTTGAATCTACTCCGGGGAAAAGTGTCTTTGGGAGAAACTGAGTAAAATCAACAGGCCTGCCTATCTTACAGCTGACTATCTCGTTGAGTGCGACTGAAGTACATCTAGTAGGGAACATGGTGGCATATTGCCGGTTAACACAGGCTCGAACACAGTACCGTGTTCTATTGCCTGGGGGACTCGCAGAGTTATTGTTGCGTCGCGTAGCTGTCGCACGGACCGCGTAGAGAACATCCGGTTACACAGAATTACTTCTGTTTTTGGAATTTTTCCATCATCCGGAATTCTAGGTAATAGAGGATATGACGTTTCGGAAACTTGATCTGTTTCCGTCTTCAGGTCAGAAAGGAAGACACCTACTCAGTTGGGCCCCTTAGAAAGAGTTAATCTCAATCACTGGATTAGCTGAGATTAGCTCTTTCTAAGGGGCCGAACCGAGTAGGTGTCTTCCTTTCTTACCTGAAGACGGAAACAGATCAATTTTCCGAAACGTCATGTCCTCTATCAGCTAGAATTCCTGACGATGGAAAAAATCCAAAAACCCAGTAATCCTGAGTGTTATCCACCATCGTCAGAACCCTTCAGAATTAACATCTAGTTAGTTAATTGGTGCATGTTAAGAATCTGTTGACTAGCAAGGGGCCTTATTTACAGCGACATCACGTAATAACGTGTCTACACACTGCAGTATAATCTCAGATCGTCTTCATTATGTAATTTTCTCTAGTGCTTTGTTATGTCATCTTTCATAGGTTGAAGCATCTTCCTCAGAACTTTCTAAAGCTAGCTTAATCTCAGTCACTGTTCTTGTCTCATGGAGTGTAACCGAGTTTAATTTTCGCATAGAAAGAAAGTAGTAGCCGAATTATAGTTCTATGTGTTTTATAATTTCGTCCTTCAGACAGGCGAGGGGAAATGGTCCCTGAAAACCTATCTGCTGGCACTTATGGGACCAAAACAGAATATAATTTGTTAAAGCAGAAAATTATAGGCTGCAAGCATATTAACACAGGAGCAAAAGGTGGGAAGAAATTAAAGTTTATTTTCTGAAAAAGAATGATGAAAAGGTTGATAAAAATCTTATACGAAAGTTGGTCACAGTTTTCTTGATGAAGAAACGGGAGAGCTTTGGGATTACAGTAATGGGGGGGGGGGAGAGGAGATAGAAAGTCATAAGAAACTTTCCCTTCGGAGATTAAAAAAAAATATTTCCATTCGGTTGCGTGACTTTAATTTCCTCTCCCTCGGTAATTTGGAGATTTCTGGTTGACTGGGTGTTGGTAAGACTGACCTTGTTTCCTCCTCGCACCTAAAATAAGCTCTAGAGTCAGGAAAGATACCCTACTTCATTGCAGGACACAAAGCAGCATTCTTGACGTCACTGTCTACAGGTTTACCACCTAACTCAACCAATTCCCTAGTCTCTTGAAGTCGATCTTTTAACAAAACTGTCAATATCGAGAATACTGTCACGCATTCGAGTTATCGTGACTAATAATAATGCGTTATGGATTGGGTGAATAGATTTATTGGACACTCACAAGTCCTAACTACAAATAATTATGACACTCTGAGGATTACTGTAATTATTTATCATAAAATGAAGTCTCCAACGTCTGTTTATTAGTCGTTGCTTGGTAACGAATGTTACTGCTTAACATTTCACAGCTGAATGCTAATCTACTGAACTGCTTTCTGAAGTCTCTTACGAATGAATCTTATTTGGGCGTGTTACCAATTTCTTGCTACCATTGCCTAGCAATGGCTTTTGTTTACAGAGACATTACCTAGCAACGTCTGTTGTATAGCTCCTTACTTCGCGGTTGTTCCCTAGCAACGGGCCTACAAGCCAGAGTATAAAATAGAAAAATACACATTTTTCATGATGCAATTAAATTCAGGTTAAATTCGAGGAATACTGAATCCTATCAAATTCAGTACCTTGGTCCCGCATAACCTAAGAAAAAGCTAAAGATTAAGTTGTAGCTGACCTGCTTATCAAATAAAACAAACCCCGTTACTTTCGTCCGCAAGAGAACTACACCGACCTAGCGACCGCCGCTTGTCGATGAAGTTAGTGCAAACTTTAGCCGATAGAGAGTGTCACGGCTGTTAATCTCGGTTTTCTAGGCCGGAGCAGCTATTTCCTTGAAATAGCTCCTCAATTATCCTCACGAGTCTGAGTGGACCCCGTTCCAGAAAATCTGGTATCGCCGGGATTCGAACCCGGTACCTCTGGATCTGTAGCCAGGAACTCTGACCACAGAGACGGCACTACTCATAAAATGATTCTTTTATTTGTTTTTCACATGAATGGTAAGACGAGATACCATTCTTCTGGGATTAGCACGATGAGATAATGCCTGTACTGAGGAACATGTTCTTAAGTTCGATTAGGTTTGGAGGAAAATGCGTTCAGAGAAGATTCGTAGTTCATACTTGTATGAACCCCCTAGGTCGTATGATGAATTTATTTCTGGGTTACTTAACAAAGTTTTTCAATTGTACAAATTAGAAGCGTTGAATGAAGGATGGGCAAAAATGAAGATTTGCAAAATTTGTCGGTACCGTTCAGTCCAGAAACTTTTGTTCTCGTCTGCTGTCCAAAAGCATAAAAATTAGAATATACAAAACTATAATTTTGCCTGTGGTTCTGTATGGGTGTGAAACTTGGTCTCTGATAGTAAGGGAGGAACATAAGACTGTGGGTGTTTGAGAACAGGGTGTTGAGGAGAATATTTGTTCCGAAGAGAGATGAAGTGACAGGAGGTTGGAGAAAACTGCATAATGAGGAGCTTCATAACTTGTACTCCCCTCCAAGTATAATTAGAATGATCAAGTCCATGAGGATGAGATGGACATGGGATGTAGCACAAATGTAGGAGGAGAAATATGTATAGGATATTGGTGGGAAAAGCCAGAAGGAAATAGACCACTGGGAAGACCAAGGCGTAGGTTGGTGGACAATATTAAAATGGATCTTGGAGAGACAGGATGAGATGGTATTGATGGGATTGATCTGGCTCAGAATATGGACCAGTGGAGGGCTCTTATGAACACGGTAATTAACCTTCGGGTTCCATAAAATCCTGGGAAATTCTTGAGTAGCTGCAGAATTGGCGGCTCTTCCAGAAGGCCTCACCTCCAGGAGTGAGTAAGTAAGTAAGTAAGTAAGTAAGTGGGTATAGGCGTCCACTGTTTTAAAATATCAAGCCGATAGATGCTTGAATCGGCTAAAACAACATGTCTCTGGGGCGAGATTCAAACTCGAGGCCTCTCGAATAAGAAGCAGCAGTGCTAACCACCGCGTCATGACAGTCAGCACATGATGGATGTCCCTTAACGTCAGCCATTTACTGTAGCTACACAAAATGGCTGCTCGGTGTGTTTGCTGGAACTATCTACGAGTAACCTCATTCCGTGAGGCGGGAGTTAACGAATGGATGCGAGATAGGCTCCAGCGACGGCGGACGGGGCTGATACGAAGGAGAAAATTGGGAGATTCTCACTGAAGCGCGCACGGTTAGAAATAACCGACTTTTTTTCTTCTTCTTCTTTTGACAGAATCGACTGACTTCGCCATCTGGAATCGAAAAGAAGAATCAAATAGATAATATCGCGACCAAACCTTCATTTAATTTCCTTCACAGTTATTAAGAGTTACAATGGGAAGTCCTGATGTTTTCTTTGTTCTTTCTTCCGGGACAAGAAGCAGAATTGCAAACAAAGAGTGACCTATCTATGCACTAGCGAGTTTCTAGGTATCACTTATCTGCAGTCGAGCTATTAAAAGTTTCTTCCAAAAATTTCAGGTCATGTATATTTGTCAAGGACCGAATCTGTGGTCTAGTGGTCAGAGTTCCTGGCCTCAGATCCAGAGGTCCCGGGTTCGATTCCCGGCGCTACCAGATTTTATTCTGAGAAATAGTGGTTGTGGAACGGGGTCCTCTCAGCCTCGTGAAGATTTTTTTATTGCTAGTGGGGTGGGGCTAAGCCCCTTTTACTGCGGCCACTTCTGGCCTATTGTACCAGCCGCAGATGATAGGTGAGGGGTGATTGTGGAACAATTGGTGGAATGAAGATTGGCAGGGGAAACAGAGGTACTCGGAGAAAACCTGCCCTAGTGCCACTATTTCCACCACAAATCCCATTTGACCAGACACGGGATCGAACCCGTGCCGCCGCGACGGGAAGCCAGCGACTAACCGCTTGAGCTATTGCACGGCCCAACCTCGTGAGGATAATTGAGGAGTTATTTCAAGGACACAGCGGCTCCGGTCTAGAAAACCGAGATTAACGGCCGTGAGGATTCGTTGCACTGACCAGCTCCATGAGCCTGACCAAGATTCGAACCTCGTAACGCCCGTCACTCCTGTGTCACAATGTCAGTAAGCTATATACACACACAGGTAAGAACCTCAACTGAACCTCACACAGTTCGGTTTGTCCTTAGCTGAGCTGGATGTTGAATAAATTATCACTGAAACTTTCGGTGACCGTTGAAATGGTACACCGCTAGCCTAATGAAAGGGCGAAGTGCTAAGTTGAAACAGTGGAGGGGAAGTAAATAGGTGGATGAAAGATGGAGGGAAAGGGTAGGAGAGGCATGAAAAGGAAATAGTTAATAAATGAACATGGGTCAGCAGTTCAGTACGCCTCGGCGTCATAATCAGCTTCACACTCCTTTCTCTTAAAGAGAAACGCCCCAGAGAGTGCGCACAGTCTGTGCTCTTAATTTGGGGCGACGCATTAACCGCCAGCAGCCGCTGCCTGCAAATGAAGGTTCTAGAGAGAAAATATAACCAGTTCGTGACTTCAGAAGGAGGCTAGGGTTTTGGAAAGGGAAAGCATGGCCGCCAGAAGAATTATGCCTATACGAGGTGTTACTGCGTCATTTCACATTGTTGAAACTCTATTTTAACAACAGACATAAATATAAAGGCACATAGTTAATTTTCGAAATATTTATTTGTGGCTCCGTAAACTTCATTAGATTTTATGTTCAATATTGCAGGTATAAAGAAGTATACTTACTCATGGAGCTGAGCCCTTCTTGAGGAGCCGCCAATTCTGCAGCTACTCAAGAATTCCCCAGAATTTTATGGAATCTAAAGGTTCGTTAGCGTGTTCACAAAAGCCCTCCAATGGTCCTTATCATGAGTCAGATCAATCCATCCATACCATCCTATCCTATCTCTCTAAGATCCATTTTAATACTGTCCACCCACCCACGCCTTGGTCTTCCCTGTGGTCTCTTTCCTTCTGACTTTCCCGCCAATATCCTATACGCATTCCTCGTCTCCCCCATTCGTGCCACAAGACCTTCCCACCTCATCCTCCTTGACTTGATCATTCTAATTATACATGGAGAAGAGTACAAGTTATGAGGCTCCTCATTATGCAGTTTTCTCCAACCTGCTGTGACTTCATCTCTCTTTGGTCCAAATATTCTCCTCTACACTCTGTTCTCAAACACCCTCAGTCTATGTTCCTCCCCTAATGTCAGAGACCAAGTTTCACACACATAGAGAACCAGGGCAAAATTATAGTTTTGTGTATTCTAATTTTTATGTTTTTTGGATAGCAGACGAGAAGACAAGAGGCTCTGGACTGAATGGTAGCAAGCATTACGCCGAGTTCAACCGCCTCTTAATTTCCTCCTCAATCAGGTTTCGATCTGTTATCGTTGTTCCCAAATATCTGAACTGTGTCACATTTTCAAAACATATGTTTCCTATCTTTATGTCATGATTTTGCCCTGCATTTTGGTGACGAGACAGCAACATATACTTAGTTTTCTCTGTGTTTACTTCTAGACAAACCTCTTTACTTGCGTCAAGTTTTTATCTATACTTAGATAATTAAGCATCACGCCATGAAGACGTATGAGGAAATGGTGATATAGTTCCACCATTCTTAAACTTCGCATTAGAGGGAGCTCAGAGATTACCTTCACGTTCCTGCCGTGTTACCCCCAGGGAAATATAATCTAGTATCCTTTTTATAGGAAACCGGTTGGCCCCAAAGTCATCGGAACTTTTTATAGAAAAATCTCTTGAACCTGCCGGGAATAGATCCCAAAATTCTTGGTTTCCCAGCCCGTAGTCCGTCTCTGTACCGACTGAGCTACCGAAACAGAGTCAACGTTTCGGAAACTGGATTTGTTTCCGTTCTCAGGCGAGAAGGGAAATATTTATTCAGTTTTTAGAAAACCGGTAGATGGACGAAGTCCAAAAACCTAGTAATTCTGAATGTTATACACCACAGTCAGAACCGTTTAGAATTTAATCTATATAAAGTTTTGGATGGCATGCCCTTTTTGCTTGAAGCATTCGATTTTGTATTCTTTAGGATGCAAAATGAATAATTTATGGATACGCGAAGCACTCTTGAAGCATTCTTACATGCATTCAGGGAAAACATTTTCTGCTGGACAAATAGAAATCAATTTCGTTTTGGTTTACATACGAACGAATATATCGGCCTTTCAGGGTTCCAGAGAAACGAAAGATTTTTCGATTGGAAAGAACAGGCACTTCGACATTATGAGCATGTTTTAGTCCTATTCGTTACTCTTAGGTAGGCCACACACCGACATGCGTCAAGACATGTAACAGTCAAGACACGATGTCTGTGATATGGCGCAAAGAAAGGAGCACAATTGAAACGAATGAGATTATGAAAACCGCCGCACACCGGTCTGAGTCATGATGCTGACTAATCACGAATGTAGCAAGACTGCGTCTTTTGTCTCATGTCTTGATGCTTGTCTTGACGCAGTTGGTGTGCGGCCGCCCTTATGCTTTGCATTCAAAGTGATAGGACCTGTGTTGAGCTTTTGAAAAGAGAAGTCGAGGTTTTAAACCTTTCAAGACCATTAACAACATTCACCTAATCAAAAGAACATTCACAATATCAAATATCTTTGCTGGTTGAAGTTAAAATTATACCCTATTATCTGTTCTGTACATAGGGTAGTATCCAGACAAACCTACACCTACCTACATTTTTGTTACACTTTCAGGTTTTATGATAGCAGCTGAAATTTCTACGGCAAGAAGACGTAGTGCAGTGCAGTGCTGTCCAACGTTCTTATGTACTCGGGCACAATTCACTGATGCCTATGGAGGGTGCGGGCGCCACCGCACAC